TTTTTTTTTTTTTTTTTTTTTTTTTTTTTTTTTTTTTTTTTTTTTTTTTTTTTTTTTTTTTTGTAATTCTCGGCCATTGAATTGAGTGTTGAAGCTCAAGCTGATGTAATAATGGCGAATATATATATATATATATATATATATATAGAGTTGTCTATTTTGACGCCCTTGTGTTTTGGTAGAGTTGTCTCGTTTGATATACTTGTGTTTTGGATTTGTAAACGCGTATAAAAGAATGGTAAGTTTCTCGAGACAACAATAGGTCGGTGTCGAAATGTATTTTTTAACTTAAGATTGTGATGTTTGAAAGCGGGAAAGAAAATGTGAGGTTAATAAGAAAACAGTGTATGATATTTTTTAAGTTGAGTATTTGTTCGAGAAGTAATTTTGGGAGGGTTGAATCAAAACGTTAGGACAATTTATGTTCTACCCTAGTAGTTTCAGGGGTAAACGATGAATACTAGGCACTGTGTGTCACGGTCATGCTCGTCTAAGATGTGTTATCCATGATCGCATGCCCATGACAAACCAAATCATTTATGTCTTTCCATGTTGTAATGTTTTTATTTTGTATTTTTAAGGAGTATGACGTTTTAGAAAAATCATGTCTGAGGCTGCCAGACATGAAATGTCTCAAAATGTATGACAGGTGAATATGACTAGTTATCAACTTCTCCCTACCCGATAGTTATAATCTATGGAGTAAGTGGTTGTTATTGTCTTTTGTTTACCTTCCCATATAACACCAATTTTAATTTCTCAAATATTGCTTTCAAAACTCTCTTTCAAAATCTTTCTGTCCATGTTTTCTAAAACTTCTTGAATCGAGGCCAAAGGCTCGAGCATACGTCGCTTGGCCGTAGGAGACGCAAGAACGAATAGGCTTGACTCACTTGTTGTTGGGAAGTGAGTGCCGCACAATCGCAAGTCTGTTGTCATTAAAGTGCGATTGTGACATTGTGTGTATCGACTCGTGCAGCGTTGCTAATGTGTTGTTAGTATCCTGATTGGGGAGTATGTTCGCAAGAATGAAACTCAAAGAAATTTATGGGGGCCCACACAAGCGGTGGAGTACGTGGAAGCATTTTTTACTTGATTATAGATTCTAATCCTAATTAGAGATGTCTATAGGGTGGAACGAGGACGTGGGAAGACCTCTTATGTCTATCCCCATCTCCACGAAATTTTTCGTTTATTTTCTCACATATCGGGACAAAATTTTTGAACGTTTTTTCTATATTATATATATTTATTTATTTATTTAAAAAATGTTCATTTCAAAAGAAAATTTAATAATTAATTTTTCATTTTCTAATAAAATTATATTAAAAAATATAATATAAAATTCAACCTAATTTCTAAAGGCTAAAATTTCAATGTTACAAGACGGAGCGGGGTGGGGATTTGGGCGAGCTCGAGGGTAAAGACAGAGAATATAATCCTTATCTCCAGCTTCGTTTAGCTAATAGGGAGAAATCACTGTTAACAGCGTTTAAAGATCGTCCCATTGACATAATTCTTACCAGAATTATTCGAAAAGTTTAAAAAATGTCCTTCACAAAATAGTAGAATAACTCTCGAGCATGGTATTTTCTTTGGGGTCTTACGAAATATTCGACTTAAAAGAGACATGAATATTCCGATGCTAAAGGCTCTTGGGAGGAGGTGTAGCTAAGTTCGGGTCTCTTTATTATTATCGTAACTCAAAATTATACCGAGTCTAACCAGCAAAACCTAATTTAAAAAATTAGGATTTGCACGTAATTATTGATTTGGGCCTCAATTCAATGTATGATTTTGAAAGAGCCCAACTCAACGGTGGTCATGAAAAAGCTATTGAGTAAGAGCTCACAAAGGTTACAAATGGTATCAAAACTAGACACGGGACGGTTTACCATCAAGGACGCTTGTCTCTCAAAGAGGTAGATTATGATATCCCACATTAATTGGAGAGATAAACGAAACATTTCTTATAAGCATGTAGAAACCTCTACCTTACCGACACAGTTTAAAACCGTGAAGCTAACGACAATACGTAACGAGCAAGTTGGACTATTATATATTTTAAACTTAATAATATGTTCGGGTTGGTTCGGTATAACAATAATAGTTAACTGACCATTCCAGTTTTCATTTATTTAAATCAAATGAAATTGATCGAGTTTTTCAAATTATCGTGAACAATTTGACATTTGAAATGACGTAAGTGACCTATTGAAAAAATAATATATATTTTTTTTTTTTTTGCTTTCTATTAATTTTTTTTATATAAATAAATTTGTAGAACTAAAAACATGGAAAAAAAATTTACGGGGCAGAATTTCATCTCTAAGTCCTACCCCGATCTCTACAAAAATAAATGGAGAATTTGGGTAGAGATGGTAATGATGAATGTTTCTTCGTTTCCACCTCTAGGCAATGACGCAGCTAAAGACGCGTTTTTAAAAATCGTGAGACTGACAACAATACGTAACGAACCAAAGCGACAATATCTGCTAGCGATAGACTTGGGTAGTTACGAATGGTATAAGAACCCGTCACCGAACAGTGCAACGCATTGATCAGAGTAGGGGTATACCTTCTCCATAGTACACACATCTTAAAACCTTGAGTAGAAGCATAGAAGAAAAACCCCAAATATGACAATATCCACATGCGTGCATTTGAGCCGTTAGAAATTGTGGACATCTCTAATTAAACGTTTAAAAATACAAAAAAGTGATATTTCGAATTAAATTATTTTAAATGAGGAATTAAGAAATTATATTAATGTTAATATTTAAAAGTTTTAAATAAACACGACTCTCCATGGTATGATATTGTCCACTTTGAGCATAACACGCCTCCCCTCGAACAAAGTACGCCTCCTTTTTCTTTTAGAGTCTTAGTCATTGTTTACTATGCCTTCGAGGAGACTCGACTTTTTTTTCTTTTGAAGTCCTTTGTTCGACATTTGAATACATACATACCAATCTATTGGCACGACAAAACAACTAAGTTTAGGACATGAGTCTTATACCATATTAGATGAACACTACTCTTCACAATGATATGATATTGTCTATTTTGACTATAAACTCTAGTGACTTTGCTTGGACTTCTTTAAAGAGTCTCAAATCAATGGAGGAAGTATTCTTTGATTATAAACTAAGGATCATTCTCTAACTTAAAAAATTAGTCGAACAAAACAGGAAAACTCCAGTGTAATTTAATTTCATTCTATTTTCTAAAATTTTGGAATAAGACAAACAGCTCAATATCGTTCGTCGAGGAAATGAAACGAATCACGATGGCCCGTCGTTCTTCAACTTCGAGGCAGCTCTCAGGCATCAACGCCCAATGCCCAATGCCCAATCTCTTTGGAATCTGCTTTGGAAATTCAAATTTACTTCATCAATCATCATCATTCAACCCCATAAATGGGTTCCTTAGGCGTCAGTTTTGACTTATAGTGCCGTCTCTGTACTCTCACTGTCTCGTCGTGGAATCTCCCCAAATTCCAAGGAAAGGTAATCCTTATTGGTTGAAGACTCCAACATTTTGCAGGAAGAATCTTAGATGGGTCTGGTTAGTTTTTGCATTATCATCGCTCTTGTTCTTGATTTTCTATAACCCACCTGCCGATTGTAGTAGCAGCACACACCATTGAATGTTGTTTTATGATGCTCTGAATCACTGTTGTGTTTGGAAAATCTGGATAGAACTTAGGCTTGGAAGAACGAAGAAACAAATGATTATAGGATGGAGCCATCTTCGTCACTCTACGTTGTCTCTGTCTCTTTCTAATTCGTCATCCGACCATTGCCTAGAAAGTAGAAAGTGAATACCGCTTTTGTTTTTTAATAAGGTTTTTCCCTCTTTGGCTTTTTGTCGATACTTTCAACCCCTGATTCTTGCGCATCACGCTGGATCCTTGCCAAAAGGAAGTAACATATGACTCGATCTCTGTTTCGTATGGATATATAGAACTATAGAAGCTGAAGATTCTCTTCGTTCTTCACTTGGATTGAGCTATACCTCGCTGTTGTTATACCACACCCATCATTCAAGCTTTTTGAATCATGGGTTTCTTAGCTAACTTGTTCTTGCATGACCCTTCTTCTTCCTCTGTGAGCTCTGCTGCTCACTTTCTCCTTGAACCCATTTTAGCTCATGGCTTGTCTGGTTTGGCTCACTTGGTTTTGTTGCTTGTTCTATTCGTCTCATGGGTTTGCTTTAAGCTGAAGGCAGGCTATGGGGGATGTCAAAGAGAGACGAGGTGTTTGTACTTTAAGGGAATGTTCATATGCTGCCTCGTTATCTCTGTTTTCAATCTTGTTTTGTTTTCTCTTGGCTGCTTTTACTGGTATAGAAATGGATGGTCTGATGAAAATATGGTGACCCTTTTGGATTTTGGGTTGAAAGCACTTGCATGGAGCACGGTTTCCTTTTGTTTACATTCTCATGTTTCCAAAACTGGAAAGGCCAAGTTTGCTATTCATATTCATTTGAGAGTCTGGTGGGTTTCTTACTTAGCTGTTTCTTGCTACTGCCTTGCTGTGGACTCAGTTCTTTATGGACAAACTCATTTCCTGTCCATTAGATACTTGGTTTCTGATGTTATGTCGGTTGTCTCTGGTTTGTTGCTCATATATGTTGGGTTCTTTCGGAAGAGTGTGAGTGAACAAGACCCTCTCGAAGAACACCTTTTAAATGGTGAAACAAGCTCAACTACTCTCAGTAATGGCAGCGTCGATGGCATCGTCGAGCCGAAGAACTTGAAAGGAGATGAAACTGTGACCCCTTATGAGACTGCTGGAATTTTCAGTATTCTTTCATTCTCTTGGATGGGCTCTTTGATTGCAGCTGGAAATAAAAAGGCATTAGACCTTGAGGATATTCCTCAACTTGCAAGCTGTGATGCTGTTTCTCGGACCTTTCATATTCTCAGAAACAAGCTTGAGTCGGAGTGTGGAACAGTTAACAGAGTCACCACTTTTTCTATGGTCAAGGGTTTACTCTACTCAGCTTGGAAAGAAATAACCTTAACTGCTGCTCTTGCATTCATTTACGCATTGGCTACTTATGTTGGCCCCTATCTTATTGACACTTTTGTTCAATATCTCAACGGGCAGCGAGATTTCGAAAGTGAGGGCTATGTTTTGGTCTGTGTTTTTTTCCTAGCGAAACTCGTGGAGTGTCTCGCAAAGAGGAATTGGTTCTTTAGGGTACAACAAGTCGGAATAAGGATTCGAGCAGCATTGGTTGCAATGATCTACAACAAGGGTCTGACTCTTTCTTGCCAGTCGAGGCAACAGCATACAAGCGGAGAGATCATCAACTTCATGACTGTAGATGCCGAGCGGGTCGTTGATTTCAGTTGGTATATACACGATGTTTGGCTGGTGGTTTTGCAAGTTGGATTGGCCTTGTTGGTTTTGTATAAGAAACTTGGTCTTGCTTCCATTTCAGCTTTTGTTGCAACTATAGCTGTTATGTTGATAAATATCCCATTGGGAAAGTTGCAGGAGAAGTTTCAGGACAAGATAATGGAGTCAAAAGACCAAAGGATGAAGGCTACATCTGAAATCCTGAGAAATATGAGGATTCTTAAGCTTCAGGGATGGGAGATGAAGTTCCTATCTAAGATATCCGAACTTCGGAACATCGAGGCGGGATGGTTAAAGAAGTTCCTTTATACATTGTCAGCTACGACGTTTGTCTTTTGGGGTGCACCAACGTTTGTGTCTGTGGTCACTTTTGGGACATGTACGCTTGTGGGGATCCCATTAGAATCTGGCAAAGTATTATCCGCGCTTGCAACGTTTAGGATTCTTCAAGAACCAATCTACAATCTTCCTGACACGATCTCAATGGTTGTTCAAACGAAAGTTTCGCTTGATAGAATAGTGTCGTTCCTTCGTCTTGACGACTTGCAATCTGATATTATAGAGAGGCTTCCAAGGGGGAGTTCTACTACAGCAGTTGAGATTGTCAATGGGAACTTTTCGTGGGATGATTCGAGTTCTTCGAACCCGACGTTGCAAGATATCAATGTCAAAGTGGAACATGGCATGAGAGTAGCTGTTTGTGGTACGGTTGGGTCAGGCAAGTCCAGCTTGCTATCTTGCATTTTGGGAGAGGTACCTAAACTATCAGGGAACCTGAGGGTGTGTGGTAGTAAGGCTTATGTAGCTCAGTCGCCATGGATACAGAGTGGAAAGATTGAGGAGAATATACTTTTTAGCAAAGAAATGGACAGAGAAAGGTACAAGAGAGTTCTTGAAGCATGTTGTCTAGAAAAGGACCTTGAAATTCTTGCATTCGGCGACCAGACGGTAATAGGAGAAAGAGGAATCAATTTAAGTGGTGGACAGAAGCAAAGAGTTCAAATTGCTCGAGCCTTGTACCAAGATGCTGATATTTACTTGTTTGATGATCCCTTCAGTGCAGTTGATGCTCATACAGGTTCTCATCTCTTCAAGGTAATTTTTTTTCCTAGTTACTTTCGGTTTGTACTATGTTTAGGACTTTGATCACGTGCGAATTTACATGTAAATGTCCAAACCCACCGCTAGCAGATGTTGTCTTCTTTGAGCTTCCCCTCAAAGTTTTTAAAACATGTCTGTTAAGGAGAGATTTTTACACCCTTATAAAGAATGTCCGTCCCCTTCTCCAATTGATGTTGGATCTCATAATCCACCCTCCTTCGAGGCCTAACGTCCTTTCTGGCACTCATTCTCCTCTCTAATCGAGGTGGGATCTCACAATCCACCCCCCTTCGGGACTCAGTGTCCTCGCTGACACTCGTTCTCCTCTCCAATCGATGTGGGATCTCACAATCCACGTCCCTTCGGGGTCCAACGTCCTCGTTGGCACACCGTTCGGTGTCTGGCTCTAATACCATTTGTAACAGTCCAAGTCCATTGCTAGCTGATATTATCCTCTTTGGGCTTCCTCTTTTGAGCTTCCCTTCAAGAGTTTTAAAGCGTGTCTACTAGGGAGAGGTTTCCACACCCTTATAAAGAATTTTTTGCAACCCTCTCCCACCTATATGGGTCTCACATTAAAATAATCCTGCTTGAATTATCCCGACAGGAATGTCTCCTTGGTGTTCTGAATTCAAAAACAGTCATTTATGTCACTCATCAAGTAGAATTTTTACCAGCTGCAGATCTTATCTTGGTAAGTAGAGGACTTCTATCTCTGTTTTTAGTCATGCTCCTTGTTCTTTTACATCTGAACTTAGGAGATTCTATACTATCAGGTCATGAAAGATGGAAAAATTGTTCAAGCTGGAAAGTACGATGAAATTCTTCGTTCTGGAACCGACTTTATGACACTCGTTGGCGCACACGAGGAAGCATTATCCACCATTAATTCTGTGGAAGGAGATGCTTCTGGAAAATCTGCAAGCAAAGAAGATGGGTCTATGAGTAATACTAATGGCATTACATATGAGGAAGATAAAACAGATATACAAGATGGAAAGGGAGTTGACGAAACTAAGTCAAAAGGGCAGCTTGTACAAGAAGAAGAAAGAGAGAAAGGAAAAGTTGGATTTCCAGTGTACTGGAAATATACCAAGTATGCTTATGGTGGAGCTCTTGTGCCTATTATATTGCTTGCTCAGGTTCTCTTTCAGATTCTCCAAATTGGAAGTAATTACTGGATGGCATGGGCTACTCCTGTTTCAGATGATATGGAGCCTCCTGTTTCGACCTCTCGATTGATTATCGTCTATGTTGCTTTGGCCATTGGAAGCTCTTTGTGTGTCTTCTTGAGATCAGCCCTTCTTGTGACGGCTGGTTTTAAAGCAGCAACTGAACTCTTCGTTAAAATGCACACGAGCATCTTTCGGGCTCCCATGTCGTTCTTCGATTCTACTCCGAGTGGAAGAATCCTCAATAGAGTGAGTGAATTTATATTCATGGATGCTCTTGAACTAGTCACTTGAAACCTGTAATCATAATTTGTATATACTGTTCTTTTGTTTACAGGCCTCCACAGACCAAAGTGCCATTGATATGGATATACCATTTCGAGTTGGGGCCTTCTGCTTCAGTCTGATTCAAATCCTAGGAACCATTGCAGTAATGTCTCAAGTTGCATGGCAGGTTTTCATTATCTTTATCCCTGTGATGGCTTTATGCATCTGGTATGAGGTATGACTTCTGACCTTGTGGTTTGTCATGGTAGGAAAGTTATAACCGTCTATGTCTACCGCTAGTAGATATTGTCCTCTTTAAGCTTTCTCTTTCAGGCTTCCCCTCAAGTTTTTTAAAACACTAGGGAGAGGCTTCCACATCCTTATATAAAATGATTCATTCTCCTCCCCACCCGATGTGAAATCTCACAATCCACCCCCTTCGGGTCCCAGTATTCTCGCTGAAGCTCGTTCCTTTTGCCAATCGATGTGGGACTGATCCCCAATCTACCTCTCTTCGGGGCCAGCGTCCTTGCTGACACACCGCCTCGTGTCCACCCCCTTCGGGGGGGCTCTCAACCTCCTTGCTGGCACATCGCCCGACGTCTAGCTCAAATACCATTTGTAACGTATCAAGCCCACCGCTAGCAGATATTGCCCTTTTTTGGCTTTCCCTTTCGGGCTTCCCCTCAAGGTTTTTAAAATGCGTATGCTAGGGAGAGGTTTCCACACCCTTATAAAGAATGTTTCGTTCTCCTCCCGAACTGATGTGGGATCTTGTAGTTACATAATCTAAAAACAAAAATCTTTAGAGCTTCTGCTGTGCAGCTACCTAACATTGAGCTTTTGTTATGCAGCAATATTATATTCCATCAGCACGAGAGCTATCCCGGTTGATTGGAGTATGCAAAGCTCCAGGGATTCAACTTTTCTCCGAAACGATTTCTGGATCAACAACTATTAGAAGCTTTGATCAAGAGTCAAGATTCCAGGACACCAATATGAAACTGACAGATGCATACTCTCGACCCAAGTTCCACACAGCTGCAGCAATGGAATGGCTCTGCTTCCGTCTAGATTTATTGTCTTCGATCACGTTCGCCTCGTCTTTGATTTTCTTGGTATCTATCCCTGTGGGAGTCATTGATCCAGGTACAATTTTCAAGCTGTTCTATCTTCAAACAATGATCTTGTAGTTCTTTTTTCCAGCTGCCTAATTTATTTTACTCTCTACACTGAAGGCATTGCTGGCTTGTGTGTAACCTATGGACTTAACCTCAATATGTTGCAAGCTTCGCTAATATGGAACCTTTGCAATATGGAGAACAAAATTATATCAGTGGAGAGAATATTTCAATATACTTCAATCCCTAGTGAGCCACCTCTAGTTGTCGAGGAAAACCAACCGGATAGTAGCTGGCCAGCGTTCGGAGAAGTTGAACTTCACAACCTGCAGGTACTTCAAATTCTTTTTCTATCCTTTGATACCAACAGCTCCCAAATCTGATACCTGTGATTCTATCCTGAACTTTTATCATGTAGGTTCGCTATGCACCTCAGCTACCTCTTGTGTTGCAAGGTATTACATGCACTTTTCCAGGAGGAAAGAAAACAGGCATTGTTGGGAGAACAGGAAGTGGCAAATCAACTCTAATACAGACACTTTTTCGGATAGTCAATCCCGTAGCAGGTCATATTGTGATAGATAACGTCAACATAACAACGATAGGACTTCATGATTTGCGGTCAAAACTCAGTATCATCCCTCAGGATCCTACTATGTTTGAAGGCACTGTGCGGAGCAATCTCGATCCCCTTGAAGAATATGCAGATGAAGACATTTGGGAGGTAACATGGTTTCCTCTTCTAATCATTCCCTAGAAAGAAGTCTACCTTGTTTTGTTTTGTTCAAGCATTTCATTTATGCATCAGGCACTGGATAAATGCCTACTTGGAGATGAAGTGAGAAAAAAGGAAGGAAAGCTGGATTCAGCAGGTATGTTTCTGGATGTTCTGGTAAAGATTTCAATGAAGTGAAGTTCTTCGAACTTTTGTGAATACAATGCAGTTAGTGAGAATGGAGAGAATTGGAGCATGGGTCAGAGGCAGCTGGTTTGCCTTGGTCGAGTGTTACTAAAGAAGAGTAAGGTGTTGGTCCTTGATGAAGCTACTGCGTCCGTCGATACAGCTACGGATAACTTGATTCAACAGACTCTACGACAACATTTTTCCGACTGTACCGTCATTACTATTGCACACCGAATAACCTCAGTCCTTGACAGTGACATGGTTTTGCTTCTAAGTCACGGTTCGTATCGATACGCATACAGTCCACTAAACTATATATCTTGTCCATCCATAACTTGACTTTCATTACTCATCATGTAGGACTCATTGAGGAGTATGACACCCCCACAAGATTGCTAGAAGATCAGTCATCCTCGTTTTCTCAACTAGTTGCAGAGTACACGCAAAGATCGGGTTCTCAATGAAAGCCATGGCAGATGATAGGATCGTTAACGGACCCTTTTATTACATCCGCCTCTACCAAATTTTGGAACTTTCTATACGTTTAACTACATAAAGATCTCAGGTTCTCAGTCCAGCTCTTCTTGATTAGCTGTTATTAGTATCACTAGCTGTTTATGTGTAACTTTACGAAGACTTGTGATGGCTACAAAGAACTAGTGTATCATTTCCCTAAAGATGAATGAGCCATTTTGATTTAGATTGATACTAAGTAATATATCACGGATATATTGGGCTAACGTGTTCTTATACGACAGATGAGAACCGTGTATAACTCAATGGTTAAGATATCTCAGTCTTCCTAACAGATCAAATACACCCCTAGGCCGTACCCACCCAAATAGAGAGTGGAAAAGAGGAACTAATCAACAGAAATTGCATGTACCAAGAAGAAAACGTATAAATAAAGGATACGCAAGAACTTTCAAACAAATTATTGATCTATAATCAGAGCTTAGTAAAAAAAATTTGAACCTTTTTCTTTTATGGAATTTGATCATGACATATCAGCTATGTTTTCAAACGAATAGAAGGTAGATTTAAGCAATTCTATAAACAGTTTCCAACATACTTGGAACCATGAGCAGAAGTAAATTAGATCGTGAATCAAAACTGGTGGGTTGAACATTGTTTGATCCTCCTCTTTCAGTGGCAAAATGGTTAGTGTGGCTTTGGAGTAAAGCCATCAACAGCAAAATTCCTGGTGGCCGCAGGAATGGCTAAACGTATTCCATCAAGTTCAGGTTTTGCAATAACTTGACATCCCAAACGAGACCTGCAGTATTCCAACAAAGTTAATACCAACACAAAAACAGATTATAATATCATTTGATCTATGAAGTATGATTAAATAAATGGTGTATACTCAGAAGATCAAAGGAAATATAGACATTAATCACAAACTTATGCACAAGTAACCAACATTTCTGTAAGTCCGAATGCCAGATCCAACATGTCATTCTCCTCATCCAAGGGTTCTTCTAGTTTATTGTAGTAGTCCGTATCCTGTGATGTGATTTAATCAGATTTAACACAAAATTCCAGTCTAGAATTGTACCCATACACCCCCCCCCCCCCCCCCCC